CTTCAACCATCCAGTTATCTTGGTTTATCATGTTTGCTTCTCGCTGGCAAAATGGAACTGGTTCCTACTTTTATATTCAGCTAAACAATACCCTAGAATTTGCTATGGACGTTGGAAATAATGTTGTTTCACTAAGGTTTGCAGGGCATGCATGTCATTAGTATCATTAATGATAATTTATTATTATTTTTTTAGTACTCAGATGCATAGTATGGAGCTAGAAAAGTGGCAGAACCTTCGAATTATATACCATTCAATCAATAATATTGTGACCATGGAGTTGAACAAGCGTTTGATGTCATTCACTACCTTTACTTCAACACTATCAGATCTCAGACTATCCAGTGGATCATTATACATTGGTAGAACATCACCGAATGTTAGTAGCCCTCCTAGATCATTAGTCAAGTCTGGCTTTAAAGGTTGCATTGATCAGGTAATTCAAACCATTTTTGCTAATAATTATTGGATGAATGATTTTATTATTAGATTAAAATGTCAACGAATGGATATTACACAGTTGAGGGCATCACTGAAGCAGTTAATATTGTAAATTGTTATAACAATAATTAAGTATTTTAGAAACTTTGATAGGCTAACTTTTAATGGACGATGTTATAGTTTTATCGACTGTTGTGAATGCTAGAGGTTTTTTATCTCATTTAGAAAGTTTATGTGTCAGGCTACAACATTCGATTAATGCTGCGGCATCAACCTTAAGTTATGTCTAGACTAGTTTGTTTACTATTTTGAATTAATGTTGTAGGTGGTGTTAGAGTAAATCCTTCTATCATCCCTTTTGATCATTATGGCTTTCTAGGAGTTCCTGCACATGCTTTGGGTGGGTGTCATTGCATGCTAGAGGGTTGGATGAATTCAAAGCCATCATTTGTGGTCAAAACATCTTTATAGCGTAGCTTAAACAAGAATTTCCTATTTTTTTGTAAATTGCTAATGGCTATTGCTATCTACTGGTGTCTTTTATTGTTGGAATGCTTGCCTCAAGTTTTATCTTGTAAGTTATGAATATTATAATGATAGATCTAATTATAACAATATCATAATGTAGTGTTGCTGGTTCAGACTACCCCACCTTCTCCTACCCCTGTATGCCCTGGCAGTAAACTAGTATTCACCTGTTCAACCACAAGGAGCAATTTATTTTTTGGGATAGGATTAAGACCTGATCCTGTATATCTTATTAGAAGTACTAGCAGCCCTAGAACAGTTTCTGAGAGTTTCTATGTTACTATAGCCCAAGTTGGTAACACACTGGAATGTAATTTTACAAATGAATCAGTTCCATTACAATTGGATGGAACTATTATCAATTGTTCTGATGACTATGGATCAACTCTTAACAGAACAATTGTTCATATAGCAGGTATTATTGTTTAATACAATTATTATATTTATTTGTACTATTAAATTTAGATATACCAGAATCAGTTAATAATACAATGGTATATCCTATTAGTGATGATTCATTATTCATTGATTGGAGTGCTCCAGGATCATTATGTATAGATCACTATAATGTCACCATTATTAGTAACAACACAAATTCTGAATCTATTACTACTAATAGCACTAATGTAACAATTGATTTTCTCATTACTGGCACTGATTATTCATTTATCATTGTTCCTGTTGATACCGGTGGACGAGAAGGACCTCCTTCAACAATACAGTACACAGGGAATGGTAAGAACTTCAATATATCCAATCTCTAATCTTTCTAATAGTCAGTGTAAGTACTACTGTTAAAAGCAGTTCAATTATTACTGCTGAAGTAATCTCATCAGGTTAGTGTAGAGTGTAGACTTTATTATATTTTATAATCATTTAGTGACAACACTATCAGTGGACTCAACTGAACTGTTGACTTTAATTGGTAAGTAGACATTGTATGTGATCAATAAACTACTATACAAATCATTAAAGGAAGCGTATCAACAAATGCATTTACATCATCAGTTACAGCCTACACTAATTTACCACAATCATTAACAATGTCAGCACAAGCTACATCAACTGCCAGCAATAGTCTGTCTGGTCTGGACCAGTCAGTCTATTATAGCAATACAGCCACTCCTACTAGCACTGATACTGGCTCAAATATTCTCCCTATTGTATTGGGAGTTATTAGTGGAACGGTAGCAGTACTCCTAATCATATTTGCAATATTGATGATAGTAGTGGCAATCAAGAAGCACAGAAGTAAATGTATTTACTGACATCTTTATGTTAAAATATAGTCTATTATCATAGGTAATAATGTAAAAAAGTAAGTCATGATCATGATCATCATCATTATCACTATTATTATTATCTTATTATCATCATCATCAATATTATTATTATTGTCATCATCATTACTGTTATTATACATAATAATTTATACTTTTAACATTCAGGGACAGCTCTACTACAGGGAGTGACATTGTTGGTTAGTGAAGTTGATTATTTTGGTCTTATATTTTTATGTAAACAATTAGTTTCCTTAGACCACTCCAGAATTCCTCTAGATTTGAATTCAGCTTATCAAAGTAAAGCTCTTATCGTGATAAAAATTTATTGTGAATTTTAAAAGTACATTATCAAAAAGAAGAGACATATACAGATGACACTGTTATTGAGCAGTTGTTGATCAAATATTTAATACCGTCTTCACAAATTGATATACAAGAAACCATCGGCCAAGGTTTAACATGATGGTCAGTATAGACAATAACACTGCATGTTTGCATTAGGTGAGTTTGGAATTGTTTATAAAGCAACTATGAAACCAATGAATAAAAGTGAACAAGAAATTGCTTTAAAAACACTCAAAGGTACAAGTGATACTTAATAATAACTAATAAAAAATTTGGATTAATTTAGGAGAATTTTCAAAGAGTGATGTCAATTCTCTTCTTGAAGAGTGCCTACTGATGTCAAACTTTGATAATCCTAATGTGCTGTCTCTCATTGGAGTGTGTGCTGACCTGGGATCAGCTCCAGGCATCATTATGCCTTACATGTCAAAAGGAAGTCTATTGTCTTATTTGCAGAAAGAGAAATCTCACCTTATAGTGGAAGCAACCAGTGAAGAAAGCACAGTGCTAATAAATGTTAGGAAAGAGTTGCTCTCTGTGTGTCTTCAAGTTGCTAATGGAATGAATTACTTAGCTTCACAAAGGTTTATTCATCGTGATCTTGCTGCTCGAAATTGTTTGTAAGTATAACAGCCAAATGTGTGTACTACTAATTTTAATTGTGACTAAATTTGATAGGATTGCTGATAATGGTGTCATCAAAGTTGCTGATTTTGGCCTATCGGAAGAAATTTACACAAAAAATTACTTTAAT